TTATCAGTCTTGATAAGACTAAGCTCAATCATCACGAGTCAATGACCATTGTGGGATACACGGGGTAGCCAATCAGATTGCAGGGTGCCACCATGGAAGCCCCGCCTCTGGTAAAAACATATCTAAAATTAAGTATTCCCAATTAATCGATTCATTGAAGCCCCGCCCTCTAAGAAAAGAAAAGGAAAAATAAAAAAACGAAAAGAAAGATAGGAAAAGAACAGACACACACACACATGCAACAGTAATTTGCTGCGAGAAGGGGTTTAAAAATGTGTATGAAAATCAGGGTTGGAATTCTACGGAAAAAATGACCGACGGATATAACTACGGAATTTTTTCCTTATGCTGTATATATATATATATATATATATATATATATATATATATATATATATATATATATATATATATATATATATATATATATATATTTTTTTTTTTTTTTTTTTTTTTTTTTTTTGTGACTACAGATAATTTGAGGCAAAGGAAAAGTGTTTTAAACAATACTTACATATTTTCCACATTCAAATGAATTAAACATAAAAATTGCTGAAACCATCCTGGTACAAACTAACATGACGTGGCAGACCAAACGTCACCTCAGCGGAAATTTCATCCGATGTCACTTCAGCTGGGTCTTCCAGCTGGGCATCATTAAAGACAGAGCCACAGTCCCATTGAGTGACTTTAAAACTTCAGCTCTGCAACACACTCACTATGAATAGTCGTACACTTTTTAGATCAATCAACTTTATACATTCAATGTCGCATTTTCTTGAGTTATACATGAAGGGATGTGGGTGTATTCAGTGTTGTTGAATGTTACATTATTGGCTTGATTATGTACTAGGGGTCCTCGACTTACGACGGAGATCGTTCCGATGCTGTCGTAACCCATATTTTGACGGAAGTCGGAACGCACTTAAAAACAGTACATGTACGTATGTACATAAGCACAGAAGTCATTCACATCTGCTAATGCAGTATGTATACATGTATTAAAATCATAATCTAAAACATAACAAGACACTTCTATGACGTACATGAAAACATAACTAGGGCTAAAGGAACACATGGATGACAGACTAAATACTGTACATGATTTCTAGCGTCGTATCCACGAAACGTAAGTCGCGACCGTCGTAAACGGAGGACCCCCTTGTTCTTATTGTATATTATTTTATGCAGTTCAATAAACAAGAAAGTAACAGGGAATTCTTTATCATCAGAATCTGACCCTACGCAGTGAAACTGTAATCCAATATTCATTAGCGTATGTTAGTGTATGGTTCAATTTTATATCAGTTTTCTTTATCATCTAATGTTTAGAAAACGACAGAAATACTGCCACGGAAAAGCGGCAAGCATTGTATTAAATGTAAAACTAAGGAGTCTAAGTAAAGTGTTACAAAAATTCAATTCTTTCCCATACAACACAAACATATCGATGTATTTCTGACGAAGATATATTTGAAACCAGGCAAATACATTTCTTGTATTGTGAAGATATTCATATTCATGATATTCATATTTTCCATGTTCAAATAAGGCAAACATGAAAACTGTTGTAATCATCGTAGTATGAACTGATATGATGTGGTAGACCAAATGTCATCTCAGCGGAAATTTCATCCGATGTCACTTCAACTGGGTCTTCCAGCTGGGCATCACTAAAGACAGAGCCACAGTCCCAGTGACTTTAAATCTTCAGCCCTATAAAACTCGCTTAAATAATTGTATACTTTTTAGATCATTCAAGTTTACAGGTTCAACATCGCATTTTGTTAGGTAATACATCTAATAGATTTTCTGTAAAGAGATACAAGTGTATTTTATATTGTTGAATGTTGTTACATTATTGGTTTAATAATGTATTCATTGTATGTTATTTTATGCAGTGCAATAAACAAGAAAGTAAAGTAGAAATCTATAATCATCAGACTGACTTTACGCACCTTAACAATAATCTAATATTCATCCGTTTACGATAATGTAAGGTTCAATTTTATTGTCCACATATGTTTTCTTTATCATCTGAAGTTTGGAAAACGATAGAAATGTTTCTATGGAAAAACAGACAGCCCTGCTCGTAAGGTTGGTCAGTTGTCGGGATTTTATTTCTCTCTCTCTCTCTCTCTCTCTCTCTCTCTTTTTTTTTTTTTTTTTTTTTTTTTTTTTTTTTTTTTTTTTAAGAAGTGATGTAATGAACCAGTTCGTGGACACCACCTCATTCTAAACCCTGCCTTCCAGACCTAGATATTACACTGGAAAAATAAAGTTTGAATTCAAATGCAAAACTTGTTTATTTTAAAGGCCTCAGCCAGACGGCTGCCATTTCCATATCGAGATGATACACACTCGTCCTATGCAGTATTGCCGCACATCAGCTTGCGGTAATAGACGTGATGCAGTCCCCACGGCAGGTTTGCAGTGTGCTTTGGTAGTCATAAATCTCGCCGTTGTGATGCTAGGTGCTGCCCTTTGGCGATTTTTTTTTTTTTTTTTTTAACTAAGGTTTCAGATTTGTCGCAGACGGGAATTTAGCGATAAGATTGTTTGAACCGGCAGTTTTACGACAAAAGAAAAAAATCTCTTTTTGCCTTAACTCGATTAGCTACAAGATGTATTTACAAAAGTCTCAGTGATTTTACAGGAATTTTTATCATAAAATACTATTTACGCTATGTTTACTATGGTTGCCAGATGTACAAAAGTAGAACCCTACAAGTATACTGAAATATAATTCTGCAACTGTACGTTACGCTCCTTATGCCCATGTGTATATCGATAAAATGAAAAGCCGTTTCTTTATTCCAATACAAAGGAGTATATTTCATACGGTATCAGCTCTCTAAAGAACCATATGAGACTGACGCAGGCAGCCAGAGAAGTGTGTGTGTGTGTGTGTGTGTGTGTGTGTGTGTGTGTGGTGTGTGTGTGTGTGTGTGTGTGTGTGTGTGTGTGTGTGTGAGAGAGAGAGAGAGAGAGAGAGGGGGGGGGGGATACTTAGGAGTGGGAAAGAGCTTTCTGACGCGATAAGATCAGTAAAAGTTAAACCAAAAGAACTGGGAAGAGTAAGCGAACAAGACACTAATTGCAAAAAAATATAGATAAGAAATACGTCCCGAATCTTTGGACGTGATAAGTAAACAGAAAATTGGATTTATACATAGCGAGACAAACAAGAACAAATTAATAAGTATACACAATGAATATTGAAATCGGGGCGCTTGCAGTGTATGTATATATATATATATATATATATATATATATATATATATATATATATATATATATATATATATATATTGACAAACACATACACACACACGCACACACACATATGTATGTATATATACAAACACATATATGCTGTGTAATACAATGATGTAGACAAATCGCATAGAATATATCAAGCGCTAACAAAACCCTGCAAAACAAAACAAAGCCACAATTCCACACCGTTACCGAGAACAAGAAAACAACACCAACCTAACATTCTGGTTAAAAAAAAAAGAGAGAAAAATCGCTATCAAAACAAATTAACATCACTGAATTAAAATGTAAGCCTGTCCATTTCCCTGTGTATGATTTTATAAATTTGGAAATAATAGTCATTCGACGGAAGAATGTTGCTAGATTTTTTTCAGACTTTTCCACTCGAAATATTCCCTATTTCAATGAATAGTAGATATATTCTCAATTTAGAGAGATGCAGGGCCGTCCACTTTTCCGGAGCAGCTTTTATATCGCTCTCTAAACATCTGATGATGAAGAAAACGGATATGAATTATAAAATTGAACCATACACTATCATAAATTGAATATTAGAATATTAGCATAAAATTACAGTGCATAGAATCAGGGTCTAGTGATCATAAGATTCCCTGCGTTGCACTCTTGTTTATTTCACTGCTTAAAACCATATATAATAAATGCATTACCAAGAAAATAATGCAACATTCAATAACAAAATGCACCCGCATCCCTTTACAGAAAATCTATCAGATGTATAACTTAAGAAAATACAACACTGAATCTGTAATACTTGATTTATCTAAAAAGTATACGACTATTCCTAGTGAGTACCTTGTAGGGATGAAGGTTTAAAGTCACTCTATAAGACTGTGGCTTAATCTTTGGCGATACCCAGTGGGAAGACCCAGCTCAAGTGACATCGGATGAAATTTCTGCTGTGATGACGTTCGGTCTGCCACTTCATATCAGTTCCTACTCGTGGATGGTTTCAGCACTTTTCCCATTTGATTTATTTGAACTTAGGTTAATATCTCATTATTGTTTTAAACACCCTTCTTTTAAATCAAACCATCTGTATTCATATAAAATAACAAAAATACGACCTCCAGAAAAAAAAAATCCGTAGTAACGTCTCCATCCATTGGTCGTCTTTTGTTTCCGTTCAGCAGACGAATTTCCGTAGAATTCTAGCCAGGAGAGACGAGGTGTTTACATGTGCAAGACAAATTGATCATTTTATAATGATTTATGATTTATAACTTTTTTTATCATGTTGTCAAATTGCGTATATTTTTTCACACGACTGCAATGTTTGGCGACCTCCGGAAAAAAAAAATCCGTAGTAGTAACGTCTCCATCCATTGGTCGTCTTTTGTTTCCGTTCAGCAGACGAATTTCCGTAGAATTCTAGCCAGGAGAGACGAGGTGTTTACATGTGCAAGACAAATTGATCATTTTATAATGATTTATGATTTATAACTTTTTTTTCACTCCCATAATTTCGATTAACATGTTATGGAAATTACAGAAACAGCCAATGCCCACATTCGAAGGCATATAGTACGGCACGCGAACGACGCTGTTGCCTTGGTGACGGTGGACCGCTTGACTGCAAGCAAAAGCCTAGCCATCTAAGGGGATTGCTTGAGAAAGCGAGAGGAAAGTCTTGAGATAGCAAGAAAAAAGTGTTGAGACTTTAGGTATGAAATTTCCTTGCTTAAAACGCCCTAAGACGCACTTCCAAAAATCCCGCGATATGAAACATTTCTCAAATTTCCCGCCAAGAATCCAATATGTATACAGCCCA